GATATGAACAAGCTGACAACATTGGAGCAAGCATGCCACTGATTTACAATTTTGTTTGTTATGTGTATTTTCTTTGAGTACAGATTTTTATGATAAATGCACGATTTATATCTAAATTTGAGAACACCTTATTTGTATGAAATCACAATATGTGACACTCTATTACATTATAGTTCAGATGAAATTTTTTCTTTGCCTCTAATTTAAAATCACATGCTGCATAGAAAAAAGGAAAAAATCACACAAAAATGGACTTACATGTTTTTGTGGTGATGTCTCCACATTTGGAAGCTTATCACCTTTCTTGAGAGCTCTCAACTAAATTCGGATTATTCCCTTCATTCGCACCCTTCAAAAAACAGAAATACGGGTGCATACAATATGTGTAAGTAGATACTTTTATGATTATCCTCAATCATTTGAAGAACAGGCTGTTTTTTATCATTTTCAAATCTGAGCTGTGGTTAGAGCGTTTAGACAAAAATATGCCCAATGCTAAAACTTTTTAAAATCCGGGACCAAGAGAAGAAATGTGGCATCCCACAAGACAGACCAACTCTAACTGTGAACATTTTGATATTCCCAACGCTTCACCTATAACGTAATCCAGATTTCATATGGATGCTCTTGGAAACGAGAGAATGGGCAGTACGCATTCTGGTTTCAGCTTGGAACGGGAGCTGGTGCGTGAAACCCCTCAATGGAGATCAGGAACCTCATCCTCTCACTCATTAAGAGGCCTCAGTTTTCTCTCATGGTCAGCCCCCAATATTCATGTAAACCCGTCCTAGGTTTACAAACATAGTTAACTATGGCAGTCACTGGATTAATTACTTCAGGTCTAGATTTTACTTAGTAAACAACATTTGAATTAATTTTTAATTCATTAAATTTGGAATAAATTGAACGCAATAATTTTGGGCTATTGTTTGGGATAACAAACATGGCTTCTTTTTTAAAGTGACTGGATGAAGCGAGCCATATAAAAAATACATATGTTGCAAAGGGTATGATAAATTGATAATTACCTAAAACATTTGGGAAAGAAAACACATATACAGTTGCTACAATTAAATAATTGAGCATGAATGGCAATTAACACAAACACAAATAAGTTGGACCATAAGATAGCATGATAATTTAAATAGAAGTGTAAAATCTCACATTTTCTAATAATATAATATTCTGAGTTTTGTACTTTTCATGAATTTCATAATCAGTTCAATGTTTAATAGTAATATTTAATACAGAGTAATTTGTGAAAATTAAGTGTGCATTTTGATTCTAATATTCTGATTTTTAAGACAAAACAGTTTGAGCAAGACTTCCATATAACACCTAAAAAGAGTTATTTTAGGTGGCAAATTTCAGACAAAATAACCTAAAACTATTAACCAAAAACTGACACTAGTAACTTATTCCAGTCTCAATTTTAGAACCAAAATAGAAAATACCAAACTAAAACTGTCAAAATCAAACCAATGATTAACGCTAACCGTAATAAACTATCCCACATTCTCATAAACCAAAAATAATCAACACATCTAGTACTATGAAAATTCCCAGAGGCTTTTAATATGATGGGAAACTATCATGGTTTAAAAAGGCGTTCAGATCTTACGCCCCTGCGGTGCAAAGGCATCTCTTAAACGCCTACAAGGCTTTAGCCTTACCTTGTGTTTATTTCTCAAAGTTCTTTCTTTAACTTTATAAAAGTTCAACTTTAAACTATCTAAAATTTATTCTGCCAGAGTACAATCCATGGTCTTTTTACTTGTGATTCTGTTTTGCTGCACTATAATTATGAATTATCTATATGATCTGATATGTTATAGCAACACTTAAGCAATTGATTTCAAGGCTTACGTCTCATCAGGGTACCACTGAATGCCTCGGGGCACGATTTCGCCTTTCAAAATCCTTAGAAACTACAAAACACAAAAAAAAGTTGGTCTTTACAAAGTTATTGCACTGTTTTTCAAAAGAGAGCAATATAGCTCAAGAAATTGCACCCCTGGAAAAGAGTAAATGACCCAAAAAATGAAAATCATATAGGACCATTTGTTTCAGATTAAACAAATCACAGTAAAACATTTTACCTTCAATTTAATTTTTTAATTTGTTTTTTATGCTAATGTACCAAATCAAACTATGCAAAAATCATTCAAAAATATAGAAACACTTTAAAACTTTAATTGATTGTAATTTAACTATGAATTTCATCTTCGCATCACATATAACATTTCAAGCGTACTAATCACCTTCTGGTAAATATATGCCCATAATATTTTACATGGAGCACGTTTAGCGTTTGAATAATTTCAAAACCCAGAAAACATAAAGAAAAAAATTATAAGTGATTTAACCAAGGAAATCAAAGAAACAAATCAACCAAGAAAATAAACAAAGCAAATTAGCGAAGAAAATCAACCAAGCAGATCAACTATTCATTAAAATATGCACTAACCCTATAAATTTTCTGAAAAGTGGTTAAGACAAGAAGATTAGAATAATCAATAGTGAAGATTAAAGTTACCTGGCGAAATAAAGTTGAGAAATTAAACTAAAAATCCCGCTAGTACATGGATCCAGCGAGCGGAACTATCGAACGAGAGATAAGAATCGAGCGAGAAGCCAAGAATATTGAGCGATTTAGTTATGTACGAATCTTTCTGCGGGCCTGCGGCCAGGAACAATCCAGCAATTGGAACAATCGAGCGAGTGGCCAGAACAACCTAGCGATTGAATTCATTGAGAATCCTCTGCGTCCACGAATGAGAGCAATTGCATCGCGTGGAGCTTAGGGCGGCAATTAATCAGCAATTGGAGATGAATGATTGAGGTAGAAGAATGATCGAGCAAGAGCAATTTCAATCCATAGGAGTCCTTAATTAAACGAGGTTTAGGGTTTATTTTATTTATCCAACTGGCTTAAATAAACCAGGAGGGAGCGAAAACAATTTAGTTGAAAATTTTGGCGGGATACTGAAAATTTATCCGGAGTAATATAGTACGAAGTAATTAATTTGATTTGAATTAGTTAATTCTTTGCTCGATTAAATTTTTAAAATTAGACATTAGGGAACATTTAATTAGTACGGAGTAATAACGATGACTACACGCTAATTACTAAGGACAATTTTTCATTATGGTCGCTAAAGATAAAATTTAATAACGACGAACTCATTAGTCATTGTTAAAAGAAACTTTAACGACAGGGGCGTAGCTAGGACCGATACTTACCCTGGGCCGACTATAAACTAAAAACAGCATATAAAAATTTTAAAAGCGACATGATAGAGTGAACATAATGATTAAAACCCATTCAAATTCATAGTAATATTTTTAAACAATACATACAATGTTTGAAACTAAAATGTTAACTGAACACGACGCTCTTTGACCTTAGCAAACTCATCTATGACAGACTCAACATCGATTTTGTTGGCAAATTCCTTTTCAATAAAGATGGTCAAACGATCGGCAAGAAATTCATCTTTCATCTTGTTACGGATTTAATTCTTCAAGAGTTTCAATGCAGAAAATGATCTTTGTGCTGTTGCTGTCGAAACAAGTAAAGTCAATACAAGATGAATTATTCTTGTAAACGATATGATCGTCTAATTTATCTCGGTAAACGATATGAATCTGTCCAGCTCTAATCTAAGCAAAAGAAGGCATGCGCATAAAAATTGAACAAATGTAATTATGTCATAATAATATGCGTATAAAAATTGGTGAAAAATGATAAAATATTTACCTCTCAAAGTTGTACATCCATCTATAAAATGGTGGACCTCCTCTTCTAGCTTCCCATGAAAGATGAATAAGTAGATGCTCCATTCCATAAAAAAGGATGGAGGAAACACTTTTTCGAGATTACACATTATAGTCGGAACGTTGCAGTGAAGGTCCTCAAGAGCTTTTTGGATCTGAAAAATGAAAAATCTATGTTTCCCAAATTTCCAAAGCAATCTCGGTGCTTTGTTCTGCATTTAGGAGATATTGATAATTGATATTTGATAATCATTATAATAATAGTATTATTAAGTAATACTACTATACGATTGTGTATATACTGGATTAAAAAAAGGTTGTTATGACTTCTGATGAAAATATGGCCAATTCTCTCACCCAAAACCATTGGCCGAGATGATATTTGCACGTAGAATTACGGCTGAACTCAGTTATATCAATATTTGGCTATTTGAGTGGATCCCCCTTCTCGAATAATGTAAATGGAGTTTGTGGTTTTCTATGCCGTAGATAAAACAAAAAAAAAACACACCTACGTACTCTGTATCCCTTTGGAAATTTTATGAAAATTGAGAAATCGAGTATAGTTTCACTTTATAAAGTGCTCAAGCTAATGACCTATTGAGAAGTACGGAGTACAAGTATATAATTAGCGCCGGTGGGCGCTGATCGGCCAACAATGGGTGCAGTATAGATGTAAACAATTCAGTGTAGAAGTATTGAACATTCTTTAATCATGTTTATAAAGTAATTAATAAACTCGAGAGATTCAAAACATGCCACTTACAGCTCAATTTGTAATACTCAAATCGACTACATTGGCCAGTTTTGCTGAAATTTATGTAGTTCTGATTAAAGTGAGTGAATTGGTTGAATCTGGTGATTTATGAAAAAAAATTATATTTAAAATATATTTTAATATTTAACATAAATAAAAATAAATGAAAAAATAGTTAAAATGATCATCTACACTAACTTGGTCAATACAGCCAAAAAAGTAACTACACCTTTACTTTTTCTTATTCTTGCACAATTCCGAAGAATTCAATTGTGAGCAATATCCATCAAACTTCCTCCATGTGCAAGTATGTCTCTGGGAAGTTTCCTCACACCAAGCAACCACCTTCCTCACACCTCCATTGAAGCTTCTCCTAAGATTCCACCCATCTTCCTCCCACCTTCTTAGTACCTAGTTTTGGTGCTATAAATAGAGAGCTTGGAGAGTCTTTCTATCATCAAGTAAATTAGAATAGATCATCATAGCACAACCAAGAAGAGTTGTGAATATCCTTGAGAGATATGTGAGGTGTTGTTTTTGAGAGTTTTTAGTTAGAGCTTGTATGTCTCTTCTTTCTATTCTTGAAAGTAATAGAAGTGTTTTTTCTCTCATATTAGCACGATACTAGTATTCCCAACAAGTGGTATCAGAGCCTGGTTGAGCTTTTGATATTTTTCCCAGATTTTTTCCAGACAAAATTCTACTGTCTGAAAAAATCGAGTTTTTCAGTATTGCTCGGAATTGCAATCTGAATATACCGTTGGATTCGTCTCGTCGAGACGAGAAAACTGTTATTTTTGGGGAATTTTTGGCCACCGGAAGCTGCCGTACGCGCCGCCAAACGCCGGCAAAAAACTGCCTGCGTCATCACGCGCAGTACGTGCAGTCCAGAGGTAGAAGACGGCTGACGTCATTGCTGACGTCATCAGCCATCCAGAGCTGCGTCAGCGCCACGCGTGCAGTCCCAGCACAGTCAGCCGCCACGTCATCAGTCCACTGCCATCTGTCACTAAAGTCTAGTCAGCTGCCACGTCATCGCCATGTCACTGCCACATCACCTGCCACGCCACCGGTCAGTTTCTAAATTTTGAAAAATTGCAGTTTGGTCCCTCAAATTTTGAAAAATTATAATTTCGGCCTATAATTTTTCGAAAATTGTATTTTGACCCCGAAAGTGCCTATCCACCATTTTCGGCCGTTCCGGACGCAACGGTGCTGCCCGTTTTTCGAAATTCTGCTCCGATTTTTCTCAAACAGAAAATCGAAATTATTTAGAAGGTGAAAATGACCTTTGACGAGTCAACTTCATCTTCCGGAGCTATGATTATGCTCACGGCTACCAACTACACGCTATGGAAATCTCAGATGGAAGATTTCCTTAGCTGTAAAGACCTTGTTTATCCAATAGAGATGAAGGGTATTAATACTGACCCGGCCAAGTCAACGGAGTGGAAGAAAATTAATAGAAAAACTATTGGTCAAATCCGACAATGGATTGACCATAGTGCCTTCCACCATGTTGCACAAGAGACCGACGCTTATGCCCTTTGGAAGAAGTTAGAAGATATGTTCCAGGCCAAGACCGCTAGGAACAAGGCCCTACTGATGAGGCGTCTTGTCAATATGAAGCTCAAAAGTGGAACTTCTGTTGCCGAACATACTAGTCAATTTCAGAGTCTGGTAAATCAACTATCATGTGTAGAAATGCCACTTGGAGATGAAATCAAATGTCTACTAATTCTTAGTTCCCTTCCTGATAGTTGGGAGACACTAGTTGTTACTCTCAGCAACTCAGCCCCAGATGGCAAACTTACCATGTCTGTGGTTAAGGATGCATTGTTCAATGAGGAGGCAAGAAGGAAAGACATGAGCACAGATGAGACTCATGCCCTTGTGACGGAGAATAGAGGAAGATCACAAGGAAAACAACAAAGAAGATCACGGAGAATAGAGGAAGATCACGGAGAATAGAGGAAGATCACAGATGAGACTCATGCCCTTGTGACGGTATAGAGGGTCACATGAAGAAGAATTGCTACAAATTGCTAGAGGAGCGAGGCAAGAGCAATTCTCAAGCGAAGAACAAGGGTGGTGAAGCGCTCATCACAATCTCAGGTGATGTGGCGTATTGTACTATCAATGATGAAACATGCCTTCACGTCTCAAGAGAGGACACTGAATGGGTGGTAGATACTGCAGCATCCTACCATGTTACTCCCCACAGGTACTACTTCACAACTTACAAAGTTGGAGACTTTGGAGCAGTGAAGATGGGCAATTCCAGTTCCTCTGGAATAGCTGGAATTGGTGATGTACAAATAAAGACGAGTACTGGGAGCACAATCACTTTGAAGGATGTCAGACATGTTCCAGACCTTCGACTCAATCTCCTGTCAGTGGTATGTCTTGACGAGCAGGGGTATGAAAACCACTTTAACAGGGGCACCTGGAAAATGTCAAAGGGCGTTTTGACAATCGCTCGAGGACATATTTGTGGCACATTGTACATTACCCATTTGAAGATTTGTACGGATAGCCTCAACATTGCTGAGGATACTTCTCAGAATCTGTGGCACCTGAGACTCGGCCACATCGATGAGAAAGGGTTGACTACCTTGATCAAGAAGAACCTTATCAGCATCGACAAGAACGCTGCATTGGGTCCTTGCAGTCATTGTCTGTTTGGTAAGCAACATAGAGTATCATTTAGTTATACTTCAGCTAAAAGATCAGAGTTGTTAAGCTTGGTACACTCCGACGTCTGTGGTCCTTTCGAGGTGGAATCAATCGGTGGAAGCAGATATTTTCTGACTTTTATCGATGATGCTTCTCGGAAAGTGTGGGTGTATTTCCTGATTACGAAGGATCAGGTGTTCAAGAGCTTCAAGACATTTCACGTCTTGGTGGAACGTGAAACAGGAAAGAAGCTGAAATGTATCCGATCTGATAATGGAGGCGAGTACACATCCAAGGCGTTCGATGCATATTGCAGAGAATATGGCATTCGACATGAGTACACATCCAAGGCGTTCGATGCATTTTCAAAGTGATGGACGGGGTGAGTTTGATAATCATAGTATGCGTGAAAATTTTCTTAGCAATGGTATGTTGTTTAGGAAATCTTGCCCTGACACTCCTGAACAAAATGACATTGCTGAACGTAAACATAAACATTTACTTGAACTAAACCGCACTGTGCTTCTTGAAGCAAAACTGCCAGCTAGTTTTTGGGTAGATGCTGTGTTTACTGCTACCTATATTATTAATCGTCTTCCCACTCCCAATTTAAATGGTGTTTCTCCGTTTGAAAAATTATTTCACCACTCACCCGACTTCTCTTTTATGCGTGTATTTGATTGTGCCTGTTTTCCAAATTTCATTGCCACCTCTGCCAATAAATTATCTCCACGGTCCGTTTTGTGTGTCTTTTTGGGATATGCTCCTGAGTACAAAGGTTATCGTTGCTTAGATCCTATTAGTGGCAAGATTTACATAAATAGGAATGTTCAATTTTATGAGGATATTTTTCCATATTCCGACTTGGTTTCCTCCTCAAAAACTGTCACTTTGCCCCCACTATCATCCTCTAATACTGTTCAGTTCCATGAACGCATTTTACCCAGCTCCATTCCTCACTATGCCAGCCGAACTCCATCCACAGAACCTCAGCCGAGCCCCCATCATACTGCCAGACCTCCTTCTTTACACAGTTATCCATAGGTTAAAAGTGTATTCTTCACTCTGCCCGATTTTGTGAGCCAGAGTAAAAGCCTAAGCTGATATCAAGTCAACAACATGTGTAATTCGTTCTGATCAAAGCATTATAATTATGGAGCAATTATTATGTCACGCCCCGGACCTACCGGACACGTCAACAACCCGCCGTACAGTACGAATAGTCAACCGCAGTCCAACTCATCCATACTATACTAGGCGTCTTGAATATCATTCACAATAGTACATCCATAAACAAACATAATGTAAAATAATCATTTAAATCAGCGGAAACGTTTAATACAAGTGTTTATGCCACACTTCGGCAACATGGACGTACAAGCCCCAAATGATTATTCAAAATAATATCCATGAGCATTAATTTAATGTCTTTGAAAATAGAACGGAGGAAGCACGAACCACGTCTTCTCTCCCTGAGCTCCCCGAAGCAACGGGCGATGGTAGCAAGCTTTACTCCCTACCTGAAACTGTGAGGTGGCCTCCCCCGTGAAGGGGAGGTCAGTACTTGGAAGCATTTGACAAGTACAATGACAACTATACTAAGTATAATCAATGTTTCAACTTCTAAGACCCTCAAAATAGAGTGATATCATAATATAATGATAGTTCTTCTTTAACCCTTATTATCTTCGTAATAAGTTAATTAATTAGTTTGTCGGCACACGGCCCCTTCTTATATTTCATTTCAATCATCGTTTACACGACACCGCCCGTAGGTCTTATCATCCTTACGAGACTTGTCACCGCTCTCCGAGGCCTCACCGGGCTCTCGGGCCGGAGTCCAACATCCCGCCCCTGAACTCATACCCATCGTCCCGTAGGAAGGCAAGGTCCATTCGGGGTCCTATCTTATGTGTTACCGCTGTCGGGAGCCTCGTAAGGTCTCCGGTTCGGATTCCACCCTAACCCGTGATCACGATGTAAGTCCATGCTATCCAACCCCGCTCTCTAGAGTCGGGAAGGGCCATGGTCCTTACTAATTACCAATACTCTATCGGCTAATCCTTAAAGACTACCGAATACACCCGTAGGCCAATCCTATTCCTAGGATCAATTTATTATTCACTTTATCTTGGGTATCCCGTAAGGCCTACCCCTAGCATCACTTATCCACCTTAGTATCTCATAAGACTACTTAAGGCTCAACAATTTACAATCCAAACCTTGGATCAATTCCAACATATTTCATTCCAAAACCCCGACTAGTATCATAATACTAGTCGGATAAATTCCAACAAAACTCATTTTCAATTCATAGTCATATAGACAATTTCCAAACTAATTTTCCATTGAAAATATAGTTCATATCAATATACAAAATATAACCTTTAATCACTCATATATCCTTATATGAAGTTATAATTATATTTCAACACAATATTTATAATTAATCCCTTCATCAAGCCAATATGCTCATATTACATAATCATACACAATTTATCCTCAAACTTGTATATTATGCTCCTTTATTCATTGACAACAATATTTTCATTTAGGCATTATTAATCATTAATAATCCATGAAAATCACATTTATTTACTTTAGGTAATCCTACGAAATTAACCCAAAGATTATAAGCAATATAGTCAGCCATCCTCACCTTATGATGTGCTGCAATAGTTGCCTTCGTTAAGCCCTTCGATCAATCCCCGTTCTAAACCGATTGGAGATGAAAAATCTGGACAGCAGACGAAAGCCGGGCGGATTTCGTGAAAGGTGGGCGGCTTTCGTGGTCTGCAGCTACGAACAGCCTCCTATACTTGGCGGTTTCCGGCGGTTTCAACTCCTATCGATTCCACGACTCTTCTAAGTTAAATACCACCACTTTATAACATTATTCCACACTTTTAAACGCGTGGAACTCCATGTTTAATCCCCCATATGATTTATTAAAAGTCATACAAGATAAAACTAGTTAAAGAAATACTAGTTGTGTTCTAACCTCAAGAACAACCCTCTCCTCCTTGGATTTTCTTTTGTGATGCTTCCTTCAAGCTTGGAACTTGTGAGAGTCCTTCCTTGAGCTCTCCTCCTCCTTGTGTTGGTTCGAATGGCTCTCAATGATAGGGGGGAGGTATCTACTCTCAATCAAAGACCAAGAATAGTACTAAGAGAGGACATGGGGTGTATGGGTTTGTCTCTACCCATCCCTTCACTCACTAGTCCGCACATGCCACTCAATTCATGTTCCTCCAGCTCCCCTTTAGTCAACTAGTGCATACAAAAACGTGGGGTGGCCCCCACTCGCGTGGGAAGTCATCCCATTATGCCCCGGTGTGTACAACCGGCCCCGAAAGTTGTATTTCTCGGACTGTTTTAACTATATTTTATTTTATCGGGCCAAATAAAATATATCACGCGTTCCTCATAATCATGGGCCTTTAGAGAAGATGTATGTTCCCCAACATTAATTTAGGAGTCCCCGAAATTCATTTCGGGCCGTTATCTGGCAAATTACCAATACCGGTAATTGGGCCTCGTTTGACCAACAGGTCAACTCCATGCCCTTTCCATGGCCCATCTAAATATTTGGGAGCCCATTCCCATTATTAGGGACCCGATAAATAATTTAATTAATCGCACATTAAATAAATATGCCAATCAATTACATGAATTTTATTTGCTAGGAAAATTCAATTACATGTCGAATTTCAAATTCAAGTACATCCGGGTGCGGTGTCACATATTATTCTAGGCTAGAAGAAGAGAACCCTCCGTGGTGAGGTGATGAAATGAAACCCTGCCCAGAAAAGGTTGTGTGTGAAGATCATGAGCGCCATCGTCATGAGCGGCAACGTGTAGGCGGAGGCGGCCGACTAAAAATACATGTTGTGATTACTTGCAGCTTTGCGACCCTCTGAGGAAAGTTGATAAGATTCTGTAGCACTTGGTGCGGCGGCTCGAACCTGAACCCCAATCTTGCCGCGACCATTCAGCTGGCAAATGAAAATGGGGACGACGGTGGAGGCGGAAGCAGACCCAGACTGCCGCCAGCGAGCTGTGGGACCATGGCCCTGAAGTTGGAGGGGTGCGGGTTGAAAACAGTGGTGGGAGCCCACCCAGACTGCCGCCAGCGACTGTTTCGCGAATCATCTTCACTTTAGACTTGGTGATCTCCACCAATTCTGTGCTCTCGAGTTTGGCCATGCCAACCTCATCCCAACACAAAGGTGTACGACATCTCCTCCCATACAATGCCTCGTATGGAGGCATGCCAATACTCGCCTGATAACTGTTGTTATAGGCAAACTCTACAAGTGCTAAATGGTTGTCCCAACTTCCTTGGAACTCCAATGCACAAGCTCTCAACATATCCTCTAAAATTTGTATAACCCGCTCAGATTGTCCATCTGTCTGTGGGTGAAAAGCAGTGCTGAACTTCAGTTTTGTTCCCATGGACTCTTGGAACTTCGGCCAAAATCGTGATGTGAATCGTGGATCCCTGTCGGACACAATGGTTATAGGAACCCCATGTAGCCTCACGATCTCATCCACATACAATTTGGCTAACCTCTCAAGTGCATAGGTAGTGTTGATAGGTAGAAAATGTGCACTCTTCGTGAGCCTATCAACCACAACCCATACAGCATCATAATTCCTCACGGTCCGTGGCAGTCCTACCACAAAATCCATGGTCACGTGCTCCCATTTCCATTCTGGAATGGAAAGTGGCTGCAATAACCCAGCTGGATGCTGATGTTCTGCCTTAACTTGCTGGCAAGTAAGGCATTTACTGATGTACTCGGCTATTTCTCTCTTCATACCAGACCACCAGTAACTTTCTTTCAGATCACGGTACATTTTCGTACCTCCCGGGTGCATAGCATACGCCGATGAATGAGCCTCCTCTAAGACGGACTTTCGGAGCCCCTCATCCGACGGTACACACACTCGGTCACGAAATAATAAGAGACCATCATCTCTTTCCCTGAAGTCCTCCACTGGTCCCGCTTGCATGCGTTCCCGGATCCTCATGATTTCCTCGTCAGTTTCCTGCCCCTTCTTGATCTCATCAAGCAAAGTAGGTCTCACCTCAAATCGTGCCAATAAGGCTCCATTACTGGATACCTCCAGTTGGGCTCTTAAAACCCTCAAGTTAGCTATCAATGCCCCAGATGAGCTCTTCCGGCTCAAGGCATCCGCCACCACATTGGCCTTGCCTGGATGGTACTCGATTACCAGGTGGTAGTCTTTTATCAACTCCATCCACCGTCTCTGCCTCATGTTTAACTCTTTCTGAGTAAACACGTACTTCAAGCTCTTGTGGTCAGTGTATATGTGGCATGTCTCCCCGTAGAGATAATGTCTCCATATCTTAAGTGCAAACACCACTGCCCCAAGCTCCAAATCATGAGTAGGATAATTTACCTCATGTTTCTTCAATTGTCGTGAAGCATAGGCAATTACCCTCCCCATTTGCATCAACACACATCCAAACCCTTGGATGCTGGCATCACTATAGACATCGTACCCCATACCCTGTTTGGGCAAGGCAAGTACCGGTGCCTCGGTCAATCTCTTCTTCAGTTCAATGAATCCTTTCTCACATTTGTCATCCCATACAAACTTAGCTCCCTTTCGAGTGAGCTTTGTCAATGGCGACGCCAAAACAGAGAACTTCTCCACGAACTTTCTGTAGTAGCCTGCTA